TGTCCCCATGTCCCCGTGTCCCCGTGTCCCCATGTCCCCCATGTCCCCGTGTCCCTACTCTTGGCGTGCTGCGGGGGGCACCCGTCCAGCGCCTGCTCGAAGAGGTCCCGCGCCCGCTCCAGCTTCCGGCCACCGTAGCGGGCCACGAACTTGGACAGGTACGTGAGCCACAGGTCCCCCACGTGCGGCCACCGGAACAGCGCGATGCCGCGCTCGTACGCCTGCGGGGACAGGGACACGGTGTCACCACCGGAACAGCTCGTACACCTGTGGGGACGCTGTTCCGAGCCACGGGTGTCCCCAGCACCTTCCCAGGGTGTCCCCAGCACCTTCCCAGGGTGTCCCCAGCACCTTCCCAGGGTGTCCCCAACACCTTCCCAGGGTGTCCCCAGCACCTTCCCAGGGTGTCCCCAGCACCTTCCCAGGGTGTCCCCAACACCTTCCCAGGGTGTCCCACCCAACTCCTCCAGCCACGGGGTGCCCTCATCCTCTCTGGCTGTCCCCAGCTGCTCCCCTGGACGCCCCCACCCCCCTGCTCTGCTGGGCTGTCCCCGCAGTGTCCCCAGGTGTCCCCATGTCACCTTGAAGCTGTCCTCGAAGCGGCCGTGCTCCTCGAGCAGCAGCGCGTAGTTGATGACGATCTGTGGGGTGGCGATGCGCAGGTCCAGGATGCGCTCGTAGACAGCACGTGTCGACTGGGGACAGGGACAGGGGACAGGGACAGGGGACAGGGGACAGGAGGTCAGAGCCACCCCCAGCACACCCCAGACACGGGGAGGCCAAGAGGACATGGGGACACAGGAGTGTCCATGGAGGGACGGGGCACATGGATGTCCCCCATACCCATCGGTGTCCCCAAATGTCCCCTCAGTCCACCCAGGTGTCCTCAGGTGTCCCCCACGTCCACCCCGGTGTCCCCAGATGTCCCCGTGCCCCACCTGGAAGGTGCCCAGGCTCTCCTCCAGGTCGGCCAGCATGGACCACACCTTGAGGGATTTGTAGAGCCGGTTCTGGACGGGCTCCGAGCTGTCGAAGTACTCGGCGCGTTTGGCCGGGAGCGCCGTGGCTTTCTGGGGGAAAAAGGCGTCACCAGCGTCCCCAAACACACCCCAAAAAACCCCAGAACCCCCCCGGACACAGATCCCAGCCCTGATGGCCCACCTGGGGACAGGGGTGGCCCTTGGGGGTTCCCACTGTCCCCAGCCCCCCTCATTTTCGTGCTCCCCCCCGTTTTTGGGGTGGCTGCTCACCCGCAGCACCCTCAGGGCCTCCTGGTGACGCTGGTGGCGCAGCTCCAGCTCCCCGAACTCGCACCAGACCGCGGCCAAATCCTCCACGCGCCGGAACCGCACCCGCGTGGCCCGTGACAGGATGGACCTGGCCTGGGGACAGGGACATGGGGACAAGGTGGAGCTGGCCTGGGGACCACAGGTGGCTCTGGGGGTGTCACTCAGGGTCCGAGCGGTCACTCACATCGTCCAGCTGCCCATTGTCCTCGTAGAAGCGGGCGAAAGCCACCCAGAGCTCATGGGGGCGGCCGGTGGCGCGCTGGGGATCCACGGTGCGGACGGCCTCTGTGAAGGTCTGGATGATCTGGGACACGGGGGGACACGGGGGGGACACGGGGACAGCACGGTCACTACAGTGTCACCACCAAACCACCCAAACCCACCGTCCCCAGTGTCCCCTACACCCAGCCACCCTCCCCCCGGTGTCCCCTCACCTTGTCAGGCTGTCCCTGGTGCAGGGCCACCCTCTTGTGCCACTCGTGGACGTTGTGGGGGTTCTGCCTCAGCAGCACGCTGTTGAGCAGCAGCGGCCGCCGCGCCATGAGGCGCTCGAAGCGCGCCAGGCGCAGCTCCAGCTCCACCTCCTCTGCGGGGACACGGGGACGTGGGGGTCAGGGGACACGGAACAGGTATGGGGACGCAGGGGGGACATTCCACAGCGTCACCCCCCCTTCTGCAGCGTCCCCGTTCCAGGGTGTTCCCTGTCCCTCCTGCCCCTGACCCAGCTGTCCCCAGTAACGTTCTCCTTTTGGGGTCCCCCAGCTCCCCCCTGGTTTCGGGGTGCCCCGGACGCACCGTCCTGGCCCCGGCCCAGCTGGGCCTGGGTGTCCAGCAGGGCGCCGATGACGCTCTCCTCGAAGCGCGCGTAGCTGTCGAACACCTGCGTGAAATCCCGCACGGTCATCACCGTCTGCACGGCCTCCTCGTACACATCCCGGGCCTGGAACGGGAGAAACACCGGGGTCAGGACCGGGATCATCACAGCCTGCGCGGCCTCCTCGCACGCATCCCGGGCCTGGGGACGCACGGGACAAAGACGGGGACACCGTGAGCTGAACAGGCTCCTGATGCGCGTCCTGGACCTGGGGTGGGACAGGGACACGGGCGACAGGGAACAGGGACAGGGGCGTCAGTCTGTCCCGTGCGTGTCAGTCTGCCCCCAGGTGCTGTCAGTCCCTCCCAGGGTGCCGCCCTCGGGGACAGCAGCGTCACCTTCTCCAGGTGGCCGCAGCGCACGTAGCAGTCGGCCAGGGCCCCCCAGAGCCGCCCGCGCTGGTCGGTGAAGCGCGTCAGCCCGCCCCGGATGATGCCCCCGGCGTCCAGCGAGCGCACGCGGTCGGGGTGCTGGGACAGCAGCTCGCACAGCTCCTGCCACAGCTGGGGAAAAAACGGGATGTGAGAGACCCCAAACCCCACTGAGATCCCCCAGAAACACCCAGGGACCTCCCCAGCCCTGGGAGGAACCCCCCAGCACCCCCAGGTGCCCCAAAAGTGCCCAGCCCGTCTCCTCTGTGCTCCGCGTTCCCTCCCACAGACCACCCCAGGTGTCCCCAGTGCCCCCCAGGTGTCCCCAATGTACCCCCAGGTGTCCCCAGTGCCCCCCAGGTGTCCCCATTGTACCCGCAGGTGTCCCCAGTGTCCCCCCAGGTGTCCCCCCAAGTGTCCCCAGTGTCCCCAGTGCCCACCTGGTAGTTGGACTTGCCCTGGCGGGACACGAAGCGCTCGTCGTTCACCAGCCGGGCCAACACCTGCGCGGCCTCGTCCAGGCGGCCCACGGAGCGCAGGTAGGACACGTACTGCTCTGCCTCCTCGGGGCACAGCAGTGTCCCCAGTGTCCCCAGTGCCCACCTGGTAGTTGGACTTCCCCTGGCGGGACACGAAGCGCTCGTCGTTCACCAGCCGGGCCAACACCTGCGCGGCCTCGTCCAGGCGGCCCACGGAGCGCAGGTAGGACACGTACTGCTCTGCCTCCTCGGGGCACAGCTGGGGACAGCAGTGTCACCTGAGCGTCACCTGAGTGTCACCCGGACATCCAGGTGCTCATCCATCCCCCCAGTGGGACACCGCCACTTGCGTCCCTGTCCCCTGCTGTCCCCAGGTGCGTCCCCAGGTGTGCCCAGGTGTCCCCGTACCTTGAGGAAGCGGCGGAAGACGCGCACGGCGGTCTCGGGCAGGGGGTGTTTGCGGACGAAGCTCAGGTAGGGCGGCCAGAGGCGGCGGTGCTGGGTGATGGGCAGCGCCCGCAGCGCCCGGTCGAACGTGCGGCGCGTCCGCGTGATGCGACCCTGCTCCGCCAGGAACTGGCAGTAATCCAGCCAGATCCGCGGCATCTGGGGACACGGGGACACGGGGACAATGGGACACGGGGACACTGGGACATGGGGATAATGGGGACACGGGGACACGGGGACAATGGGACACGGGGACAATGGGACACGGGGACAATGGGACACGGGGACAATGGGGACACAGGGACAATAGGGACAATGGGGACACGGGGACAATGGGGACAGTGGGGGCAATGGGGACAATGGGGGACAATGGAGACAATGGGGACATGGGGACAATGGGGACAGGGACATGGGGACAGTGGGGGCAATGGGGACAATGGGGACCCCACCCTGCTCAGCCATGCCCCACGTCCCCTCTGTGTCCCCATCACCTCCCTGTCCCGTGTCCCCCCGTGTCCCCTGACCTTGTGCATGAACACCAGCGCTCTCTCGTGCACGGCGTTGGCCTCCTCGAAGGCGGGGTCCGAGGGGCAGCGCCCCTTCACCTGCGCCCGGCGCTGCCGCAGGTACTGGTACCACAGCTTGTAACTGCGGGGGACACCTGTGTCACCTGTGTGTCACTTGTGTGCCCCCTGCCACTGTCACAGGCACTGGTCCCACAGCTTGTAACTGGGGGGGACTCCTGTGTCACCTGTGTGTCACTTGTGTGCCCCCTGCCACTGTCACAGGCACTGGTCCCACAGCTTGTAACTGGGGGGGACTCCTGTGTCACCTGTGTGTCACTTGTGTGCCCCCTGCCACTGTCACAGGCACTGGTCCCACAGCTTGTAACTGGGGGGGACTCCTGTGTCACCTGTGTGTCACTTGTGTGCCCCCTGCCACTGTCACAGGCACTGGTCCCACAGCTTGTAACTGGGGGGGACTCCTGTGTCACCTGTGTGTCACTTGTGTGCCCCCTGCCACTGTCACAGGCACTGGTCCCACAGCTTGTAACTGGGGGGGACTCCTGTGTCACCTGTGTGTCACTTGTGTGCCCCCTGCCACTGTCACAGGCACTGGTCCCACAGCTTGTAACTGGGGGGGACTCCTGTGTCACCTGTGTGTCACTTGTGTGCCCCCTGCCACTGTCACAGGCACTGGTCCCACAGCTTGTAACTGGGGGGGACTCCTGTGTCACCTGTGTGTCACTTGTGTGCCCCCTGCCACTGTCACAGGCACTGGTCCCACAGCTTGTAACTGGGGGGGACTCCTGTGTCACCTGTGTGTCACTTGTGTGCCCCCTGCCACTGTCACAGGCACTGGTCCCACAGCTTGTAACTGGGGGGGACTCCTGTGTCACCTGTGTGTCACTTGTGTGCCCCCTGCCACTGTCACAGGCACTGGTCCCACAGCTTGTAACTGGGGGGGACTCCTGTGTCACCTGTGTGTCACTTGTGTGCCCCCTGCCACTGTCACAGGCACTGGTCCCACAGCTTGTAACTGGGGGGGACTCCTGTGTCACCTGTGTGTCACTTGTGTGCCCCCTGCCACTGTCACAGGCACTGGTACCACAGCTTGTAACTGGGGGGGACACGGGGACACACCCCTGGCACCTCTGTCACCTGTGCCACCCCTGTCAGTCACCACACCGCCTGTGCTGTCACCAGTCGCCCCCTGTGTCACCTCTGTCACCCCCGTACACCCAACACCCTGCCACCCGCGTCACTCCTGTCACCTGGGCCACCCCCTGCCACCTCCCGTCACCCGCAGAGGGCCCAGGCTGTCCCTGTCACCCCGAGGAGACACAGCAGGTCCCCCCAGGTGTGTCCCAGGTGTCCCCAGGTGTGTCCCAGGTGTGTCCCAGGTGTCCCCAGGTCCCCCCAGGTGTCCCCAGGTGTCCCCACCTGCCGGGCAGCTCCCGCAGGGCTCTCTCGTAGATCTGGTTGAGGCGGGGGCGCGGCCCGCGCTGCCGGGCCTGGGCGTAGCGGAGCCAGCCCCGCACCGAGAACGGGTTCCTGAGCAGCTCCTCCTCGTGCTGCACCTCCTCCTCCTCCTGCGGGGACAGGGGACACTCAGGGACACTCAGGGACACTGAGGGACAGTCAGGGACACTCAGGGACACTGAGGGACACCGAGGGACACCGAGGGACACCGAGGGACACTCAGGGACACTGAGGGACACCGAGGGACACCGAGGGACACTCAGGGACAGTCAGGGACACTCAGGGACACTGAGGGACAGTCAGAGACACACAGGGACACTCAGGGACACCGAGGGACACCGAGGGACACTCAGGGACACACAGGGACACACAGGGACACCCAGGGACAGTCAGAGACACCCAGGGACACCCAGGGACACTCAGGGACACCCAGGGACAGTCAGAGACACCCAGGGACACTGAGGGACAGTCAGGGACACTGAGGGACACTCAGGGACACCCAGGGACAGTCAGGGACAGTCAGAGACACCCCAGGGGACACTCAGGGGTTCCGGAGCAGCTCCTCCTGAGGGGACACGGGGACAAAAGGACAGAACAGAGGGGACAGAACCAAGGGGTGACAGGGCTGGGGTGGCACAGGGACACGGGGACAGCCGGGGTGACAGGGCTGGGGTGGCACAGGGACACAGGGACAGCCGGGGTGACAGGGCTGGGGTGGCACAGGGACAGGGATGGGGACAGGAACCCGAGGGCTGTGACCAGGGGCTGGGGACAGCGACAGGCCCGGGGTTTGGGGACAGGGACACGAGAACGAGGACAGGGATAAGGGAAGGACCTGGGATGGGGGACAGGAGGGAACAGGGACGGGGACGGAAGGGACTCAGCCCCGCACTCACAAAGCACAGCTCCGGCCGCTCCGGGCCCGGCCCCGCTCCGGGCCCCGCTCCGGGCCCCGCTTCCACCCCCGGCCCCGCGCCGGGACCCGGTTCCGCCATCGCTCCCGGCTCCATCGCTCCCGGCTCCATCGCTCCCGGCTCCTGCTCCAGGCCCGGCCCCGCTCCCGGCGGCTCCTCCCGCGCCGCCATCTCGGCCTCGGCCGCCGCCATTTCCCCGCGCGCCGCCCTCACTTCCGGCGCGCCGCTCTCACTGACACCGCCCCTGCTCATTGGCTCATCTGGCCTTCGCCCCGCCCCCTCATCTCTGCTCCGAGCCAATAGACTGCGGCGGTGCTGGAGGCGCGACCAATGGGCGGCCGCGGTGTTGCGGGGCTGGCGGCGCCGGAAGCGCAGGGGTCCCGGAGGAGCCATGGGGGTGAAGCTGGAGATCCTGAGGGTGCGGGGGGGCAGCGGCGGGGCCGGGGGGCGATAACGGGGTGAGGGGAACAACAACGGACTCGGGAGGGGACGCAGGAGGTGATACAGCTCTTCCTGTCCCAGATGCTGGTGTACCTGTCCTTCCCCGTCGGGGTCTTCTGGGTCTCCAACCAGGCCGAGTTTTTCCAGCGTCACGTGATCGACCGCAAGGTGGGAGAGGGGACACCCCGGGGACACCCCGGGGACACCCTGGGGACACCCTGGGGACACCCCGATGTCCCCCCGGGTCCCCAGCTCCCCCCTCACCCACTCTCTTTGCAGAGGGAGATTTTCCCACCGGACAATCCCGAACAGGTGAGACCCCCCCTCCCCCCAGTGTCCCCAAGGTGTCCCCAAGGTGTCCCCGACATCCCCCAGTGTCCCCAGAGTCTCCCTGCAGTGTCCCCAGCATGTCCAGCCTTGCCCCGGCCGTGTCCCCGCTGTCCCCAGTGTCCCCTGCCACGCTGGGGGCTGAGGGGGGACAGAGAGGACACAGAGGAGGAGACTCCTGCTGCCACCTCCTGTCCCCCCGTGTCCCTGCTGTCCCCTCACCCTGTCCCCTGTCCCTGTCCCCACGGTGTCCCCACAGCGCCGGGCCATGGCTGAGCTGAAGCAGCGGCTGCGGGAGAGGAAGGGGACACAGGAGTGAGGGGACAGGGGACACGCGGCCACCGACGGGACACGGCGGTGACAGAGGGGACACGGCGGTGACAGAGGGGACACGGCGGTGACAGAAGGCACACGTGGCTGCTCGACGTGGTGGCACCGTGACAGTGGTGCCGTGGCCGTGGTGGTGACACTGGAGACGCGTGGCAGTGCCTGTCCCCGTGGGCACATCGTGACACCAGTGCCAGCACCGTGCTGGTGACAGGGGACACGTGGCAGCACCGATGGCGTCACTGTCACTGTGCTGGTGACAGGGGACACGTGGCAGCACCGATGGCGTCGCTGGCACCGTGCTGGTGACAGGGGACACGTGGCAGCACCGATGGCATCGCTGTCACCGTGCTGGTGGCCGCACCTGGTCCCCGTGTCGGTGGCACAAGGGACACGTGGCCTCGCCCGATGGCAGCACCGCGGGTGGCAGCTGGGCGTCGTGGCTGCCCCGGTGTCCCTGCACTGGTGACGTGGGGACACGAGGGACTCGCGTGTGACGCGTGAGGGACCCACTGCTGCTCCCGGCCCGAGGGGACACGTGGCACCCCTGGTGTCCCCACCCCCAATAAACGGCGCTGGCACTGTCCCCGGGGGTGGCACGGCCGTCCCGCAGTGTCCCCTGGTGCCACCCCCACGGGCGGCCGGTGTCCCTCAGTGTCACCCGAGTGCCGCGGGCGTCCCTCGGTGCCCCCCCCCGGTGTCCCCAAGGCCCCGCGGGTGTCACAGGCCCCAAGTGCTCGGGGGTTTATTGGGGACACAGCCAGGGGAGGGGACAGGGCTGAGGAGGCTCCGGGGGAAGGCGAGGGGGGCTCGGCGGCTCCGGGGGCTCAGTCCTGTGGGGAGAGGGGAAGGGGCACTCGCGGGGGTCTCCTGGGGACACTCCCGGGGTGTCCCCAAGTCCCCCCGAGAGCCCCCTCCCCATGGCCCCCTCCCGTCCCAAAGCCGCGACTCCCCCCGGGCTGGATCCCTCCCCCACCCCCTTTGCCCCCTCCCCGAATTCCCGTGGCTCTCCCCGGCCCCCGGTGCCCCCCCCGTGCCCACCTGCGCCCCCCCGGTGCCGAAGCCGGGCAGTCTGGGCACGGGCAGCCGCTGCTCGTCCATCCTGCGGCCCTGCGAGCTCGCCACCATGTCCAGCAGCGAGGCCAGCTCGGGGGGCGGCGGGCCCCCGCCCCCTTCTCCTGCCCGGGGGGAGCGGGTCACCCACGGACCCCCGGGGACACCCCCGGACACCCACGGACCCCCGGGGACACCCCCGGCCATCCCGGGGACACCCCCCGGACACCCCCGGACATCCCGGGGACATCCCCCGGACCCCCGGGGACACCCCCGGGACACCCCCGGACCCCTGGGGACACCCCCGGACATCCCGGGGACACCCCCCGGACACCCACGGACCCCCGGGACACCCCCCGGCCCCCCCTCCGCCTTCCCGGGGACCCCTCGAGTCGCCCCAACACCACCGACCCCTCTGCCCCGCTCCCTTCATGTCCCGAAACTCGTGTCCCCCCCCGTGCCTTGTGTGTCCCCTCCCCGGTGTCCCCTCCCGGTGTCCCGGTGTCCCCGGTGTCCCGTCCCGGTGTCCCGGTGTCCCCTCCCGGTGTCCCGGTGTCCCGGTGTCCCCTCACCCGCGCCCCCGCCCAGGGAGCAGCGCTGTTCGTCCATGCGGGTTCCCTGCACGGAGCTCAGCAGCGAGAAGAACCCCTCCTGCTCCGGGGACCCCCGCTCGGCCGGGGACCCCTCCTGCGGGGACAGCGGTCAGGGACCCCCCGAAACGGGGACAGCCCCCGAAACAGGGACCCCCCCCACCCCTCCAGACCCCCCGAACTGGGGACCGCCCCCCCCCACTGATCCCCAAACGTGGGGGGCTCCCCTCGGTGCCCTTCGGATGGGGACGCGCCCTTAGAGGGGACCCCCAAACCCCACCGGGACCCCCCCTCACCGCGGCGCGCTCGGGCTCCGTCCCCCCCGGGGCCGCCATCGCGGGTGGGGGGAGCGGCCCCCGCGCCCCCTCTTATAGCCCGGGGGGACACGGGGGGGACACGGGGGGGACACGGGGGGGACACGGGAGGGACACGGGGGGGGCACGGGGACGATGGGAGCGCGGGGGGGCACCCGTGGGTGCCGGGGGGGTCGCGGGTGCTGCGTGTGCGCTGAGCCGCTGTGGGGTCCCCATGGATTCTCTGGGGTCCCCGGGGATTCTGTGGGGTCTCCATGGGGTCCCCGTTGTCGCCGTGGGGTCCCCGTGCGTGCCCCGTGTCCCCAAAGGGGGGGCTGCCCCCGCCCCCGCGTGTCCCCAATCCCCCCCTGGCAGCCGCGAGCAATTAACGAAATGGCGCTTAATTAATTGCACCCATAAATCCGCCCCGCGCGCTCCCGCTGCGGGGGGGACACGGGGGTGGCACAGGGGGCCCTTGGTGACACGGGGGACGTGAGGGAGGACCTGGGTGGCACGGGGGACACGGCGGGGAGCGGACGCGACCTGCGCGACACAGGTGGCACCGGGGGACGCGGGTGACACCAGTGGCACACGTCACACGGGGGGGTCACCCCGGTGCCCCTCATGGCTGGCTCTGCCCTGGTGTGTCCCCCCCCGGGTCCAGGTGTCCCCCGGGGGTCACCGCACCCCTCCCCCTCCTGTCCCCCACTCTCTGACGTCATCGGGGACCCGGGCCCCTCCCCCAGCCCAGCTGGCGGCCCAGGTGTCCCGGGGGAGAGGGGCGGGGGGCACGGGGGCGTGCGCGCTGTCCCCGTGTCACCAGATGTCCCCCCGTGTCCCCCCGTGTCACCAGATGTCCCCCGTGTCCCCCCGCGTCCCCCCGTGTCACCAGATGTCCCCCGTGTCCCCCCGTGTCCCCCCCGTGTCCCCGCTGTCCCCGGGGGCGTGCCCAAGCGGCCGCGGCCCCGCCCCCAGCGCAGCCCCCCCTCCCCCGGCGCGCTTTACGGCTGTTTCACGGCGGTGTCGCGGCGGCCGGACCGGTGTCAGGTCGGTACCGGGGGTCCCGGGCAGGCCCCGATCTCCTCTCTCCCTCCAGGGGCGCCCCCAGCCCGGCCGTGTCCGTGCCCCCCATCCCCTCCCGCCGCTGCCAGGGGCGTTGCCGCGGCCCCGCTTCCCCCGAGCGC